CCTCAGGAACCAGGAAAAATACTTGCAACATGTATAATAGATGAAGAGCTAATTTCTCTAATATTAATAAATACATTAAAAATAAATTTAGGGGTGCCTGGGTGGCTCAGTCGGTAAGCATCCGACTTCAGCTCAGGTCATAATCTCACGGATCATGGATTCCAGCCCCACATCAGGCTCTGTGCTGACAGCTCAGAGCCTGGAGTCTGCTTCCTATTCTGTGTCTCCCTCTCTCTCTGCTCCTCCCCTGCTCATGCTCTGTCTCTCTCTTCTCTCTCAAAAAAAAAAAAAACAAAAAAAAAAACAAAAAAAAAACAAAACCAATAAAACATTAAAAATACTTTTTTAAAACAAATTTAAAAACATACATACCATGATAGGAAAACAGGCAAAGGAGATGAAAGGCATTTCAGAAAGGAAAAGCATAAATGACCAATGAATATTTGGAAAGATATTCCACTTTATCAGTAATCAAAGAAATGAAACTATCAATGAGTATTTTGAAGAGAAGCACATAACAAAACTCATTATTTTGGAAACGTGGGGACATTCTTACTTGAAATACATATTTGAGCAACTTTTCTAACAGTGTTTAAAATGTTTATCAAATGTAAAACATATATTTTTTAGTCTAGCGATCCAAGTGCTATATTAATTAAACCAAGAAAATAATCCTGCAAGTATGTCAACACTCATAAATGAGGACGATGATGTGTGGTTTTACTTTGGTGTGCTCTGTCAGTGTTCACATCGGTGTTCTGATATCTTCAACCAAAGAATTCCAATTTCCTTCTTTATGTTTAATATAAAAGTAGAAACAACTGCATGTTTGTCAAGTGAAGCAAAAGAAGTAAGTATAGTACTGTAAATGAAATGGGTGAGGTCGATAAAGGGGATTAAGAGGACACGTGTGATATGCCCTGAGTAATGTACAGAATTGTTGAATTGCTATACTGTACACCCGAAACTAACATAACATTGTATATTAATTATAGTTCAAGTTAAAAAAGAGAGAGAAGTAAATGAAATCTATGCTATCATTGAGATCAGTTAGACAAATCTTTTACTGACATTGTTTAATAAAAAAAAAAGATTAGAAAAACAGTATGTACAGTGCATTTACTTAAAACTCTTGACTGTATATCCATGAAAAGAAAACTGTCCAGAAACAGGTTAAGCTAATCATTTAGAGGGTTTTTTTTTTTTTTTACCTGAACTGTGGAATTTGGAGTGATTTTTTTCATTTCATCTTTGTATTACTTGATTTTTTTAAACAAATACTATTACTTTTACAATTTTTAACACTACAAAATATGTAAATTTAGAGAAAAAGGGATATGTCTAAGTAACATAATTTTAAAGTGGAACAGAAAGAAAGTAATTATGGAAAAGGCCTTCATATCGAGACCAAAATCTACAATAGTTTTAGAATGGAGAGAAGCTAGATTGTAGGATTTTAAAAAAAGAAAATGAAAAGCTATAAGAGATAAATTTGGAACTTAGACTGGTTTTTCTTTTCCCCGTATTCCATTACCTCTTTTGTACTGCTCCAGCTTTCTCATCTCTTTTCTGCATTTTCTGCATTTCAATATTTAAAAAAAATTTTAATGTTTATTTTTCAGAGAGAGAGACCGACACAGAATGTGAGTGGGGGAGGGGTAGTGAGAGGGGGAGACACAGAATCTGAAGCAGGCTGCAGGCTCTGAGCTGTCAGCACAGACCCTGATGCGGGGCTCCAAGCCATGAGATCATGACCTCAGCCGAAGTCCAAGGCTTTACTGACTGAGCCACCCAGGCGCCCCTCTGCATTTCAATATTAATCTCCTCTCCTTCTTTACCTTAGAGATGACACCTGGTGGTATGCTATCTAGCTCCCCATTTCTTTGCTCACAATGCACGAAATGATCCATACCACCCCCTCACAAAGAGGTGTGCAAGCATAGGAAATGTTTTATGTAGGTTAAAAATGCACAAACAGGGTCTTGGATAGAAATACCATGCATTGGAGCAAGAAATATACTGATTTAAACACTGCTTTGTTAGGGGTTTTTCTTCAAAACCGATCCCTACCTTTTTAACACTTTATGTTATCCTTCTTCTTTGCTTCTGTCCAATTTCTTCTCTATTGCTTGCTATTTTCTCTATGGCCTGCAGACTTTCATCCATCTTTCACATTTACCCTCCGCCCCTGCTTTCATTCTTTCTTTCGATAGCTGTTTCCTTCCATTTTGAACCTATGTAACATGTTAAAACTGGAGGCCTGGAGTTGTTCCTCTGAGTGTAAAAGGTAGTAGGTAGAACACAGTAATTAATTTTTGTTTATAGTAAAGACAGCACATCAAAAAAGAATGACAATGGGTGAACTAAAGAAACAAGACCACACAGAGTCAATACCACCTGATAAACTGCACACACTGGGAAGTTAACCTCGTAATGAAGGAGTTGTGTTTATACTTTCATGTTTCTCTAACAATACTGCCGTAAGAATGACCGTTTTGCAGGGAGGAGAATGCGTCTGTATTATATAGCAGTACAGTTAACCTTTAAATGCTGGGGTGGGGTTAGGAGGGTTGACCTCCCCCTCCCCCTGCACAGTGGAAAATCCATGGGTAACTTTTGACTTTCCCAAAACATAACGCTAATAGTCTACTGTTGACTAGAAGCCTTACTGATATCATAAACAGTTCATTAACACATATTTTGTATGCTACGTGTATTATATACTATATTCTCACAATAAAGTAAGTTAGAAAAGAAAATGTTATTATGAAAATCATAAGAGGGAGAAAGTACATTTACATAACCATGCTGTACTTACTGGGGAAAAAAAACCCAAGAAACAAAAACTGTGTGTAAGTGGACCTGTGCAGTTCAAACCGGTGGTGTTCAGGGATCAACTGTAATTAGTTCTTATTCATAGTAAGTCCTAGTACACTGCCTCCTCCCTCCCTTATTTCCTCCAAGCCCTGTGATTCTCTCCCTCCAGGTGATGCTTTGGATCATTTCACTTCTTTCCATCTCCCATCCCCACTCACAGCAGATGCCTCCCAACAGGCCTCCCCATCTTCTATCTGGACCCTCTAAAACCCATTCTACACAGAGCAGCCAGGGTTATCTTTAAAAATATTTATATGATCATAGTAATCCTTACCTTAACACCCTTAAATGACTTCCAATGCTACTTAGAAGAGAATTTAAAGTTGTTAAAATTTAAAATTTTAAATTAACGTGTTGTATGATGTCCTGCATGACCTCGCCTGGGCCAGCTTCCATGACTTCCTCCCAACACTGAGCCCCTCATTCACTGACCTCCAGACTCACTGGTTTTCTTTTAAGGTCTAGATGGACCAACTACTTCCTACCTCAGGGCCCACATGCAAGCTGATCTCCCTCGGTGATTCTTTCCTTCCCACTCTTCACCTGGCCAACACTTTTCCCTCAAGCCTCACTTGCAGCAGATTTTGTGGTTCTCTTGCACATTACCTCTTCCAATCTCTTCTGATATAGCATCCTGACTGCTTTACTCATACTGCTTTGCTGTCTGAGTTCTGAATGCGATTTATGTTTACCAAACAGAAGATCTCATGCAAGGCTTGAATCCAGAACTGAGTTAACTGGAGAGAAAAGCAGTGTTTGAGGCGACCATTTTTATGAAGCAGATCTTAGCCTAGGGGATGTGGTTCTGGGGTCAGCAGTAAGAATTATCAGCTCTCTGATTCTGGCAGAAGTAGTAGCTCCTTTCATGGTCCATCTGTGGTATGGCTTTGGGGACCATTTATGGCAGCTCATTCTAGGGACTAAAGCTGAACCACTCATTCTGAAAGCCATTTATTACTCTGCAATGAATACTTTTGCATTTAAGGCTACCTAACACAGATTCTGTTATCTATGGCTGAACCTTGACTGTCCCTCCTCAATCTTCAATCAGACTCCTCAGTTGTACTCTTTAATTATATTTGACATTTCTTTCAGAGCACTTGTTCTAATTTGTAATTACATATTTACTCATGTGTTGGTCTGTCTCAATTGTTAGATTATCAGCTTCATGAGAACATAATAAGTGCTTAACACACAACTGTTGAAGAAATTAATAAAGCAAAACTATATTAAGATTCTTCTTTACTTACTGCTTGATTACCTGCTTTCCTTAGGTTCTAGAACTGTAGATATATTGGTTGTTTGGATATAACTACTGTTAGTGATTGTCATTATTCATTCTGCATTCACCCAAAGTCATCTTGTATTGTTTTACCCTGGCAATACAGACTCCATTAGAAGTTCCTTCTTGAATCTGATCTCGCTACAATGACTAGGGTTAAACTAAGTTTCCCTAACATCCACTCTTGGATATGAAAGAATGTATATTTTGCAGAGAAAGTGTGTAAATAGTGGAGCACAATAAATCTGATATGAGATTTGGACAATTAGGCTAATGTGTTCCTGCTATACAAAGTCTTATTCGGGTTTTGTTTTGTTTTGTTTTGTTTTGTTTTGTTTTTTTAGTTTATTCTGAGAGAAAGAGAAACAGAGAGAGAGAGAGAGAGAGAGAGAGAGAGAGAGTAGGGAGGGGCAGAGAGAGAGAGAGAGACAGAATCCCAAGCGGGCTCCACACTGCAGCATGGACCCTGATGTGGGGGTCGAACTCACAAATGTGTGAGATCGTAACCTAGGCTGAAATCAAGCTTAACCAACTGAGCCACCCAGGTGCCCCTTTGGGTTTTTGATATCCAACTAGAAGAAGAAAAAAAAGGTTAGTGACAGGAAAGAGCAGAACATTATTGAAACTTGGTTTCTTCAGTTGTATCCTATGTCTTTCACATTAGACAAATTTGTACCGGTGTTTCATGTTAAAGGATGAAACATAGTTAGACCTAGAAAATCATCCATTATGCTATATTTCATATGAAGGAGGTCAGTGGGTAGATAGCACAAGATGAAACAAAAGGAAATAAGACAGCTAAATCATGCAAAGAATAAGCTAGCAGACTCAGAAAGCTTACCTTTTATGACTGGCATGTACAAGTGTTCATGTGCAGATCTAGGTCATCTTTTGGTGACCTTTGAAGAGAGCAAGCCTGCTCCTCTTCCTGGTTTCCTTATATCAGTGAATGGAATTACCAACCTAGGAACCCAGACATTAACCTTGATTCTTCCTTCTTTCTTATGGATTCAACTGCTTCATCCAATTTGATCAATAACCACATTCTTTAAATTTCCCTTTTCTTAACCTTTTTTTTGGCTCTAATTTGACAGTATTATTAAAACAGCCTCCTAATTGGTTTTCCATCACTTCAATTTAGAATGATATGCCTAAAATCCAAATATTATCATATTACTCCCTGCTTAAAATCCTTTAGTGGCCTCCCTTTTTAGTCAGGCAAGACACTTTATGACCCCTTCTCATGCCTTACCACTCCCCCACCTATGCCCTCTTCCTACTATCTTTACTGAAATACTTTAAATTCCCAGAAGGCATTGGATCCTCTCCCTACTCCCCATCCACCCAGGTTTTTGCACTCACTGCTCCATATCCCTGTTTCCCATACTCTTTGTTTGGCTGACTTCAACTCAGTTTACAGGATTCTGTTTAGATATCACTTCTCTAAGAAACCTTTCCCAAACCCCAGTGCTTGGGTTACATTTAAACTTCATGGTTCTCTAAAAAATTCTATCCCTATCATAATTTATCATCCTTCTGAATTTGCCTCTTTACTTGTCTTCTTGCCCATTAGGATTAGGTTTTGTTTAATATTAAAAAATAATAACAGTGACTTAAACAAGTTGGAGGCTTATTTTTATTTATACAAAGGAAATCAATAAATGGGCAGTCCTGTGCTGGTGTGTCAACTTCAAAGTCATCATGTTTCTAGGACCCTTCTATTTTTCTAAACTTCCACAGCACATGGTTTCCATCCCTAGGTTGCCGCATGTCCAGGAGAACTCCAGCAATTATGTCTCCCTATCAGACAGTAGGAAGGAAGAGAAAGCAATGGATAAAAGATGGATTTACTCTGTTTAGTTTCCTTCTATAGCGCTTTCCTGGAAGTCTCACCCAATACCTTACCTTACTTTTTATTGTCTACCCCTAGCTACAGGGGTGACTGGGAAGTGTCACTTTTTCATTGGGCACATCGATGCTTGCCTTTACATGGTAAGGAAGAAGGGAAGGAGGGATTTTGAGTAGACAGCCAGCAATCACTGCTACGCTGGGCTATTTCTTCTTCAAGGGCAGGACTATTTGTTTTGTTTTGTTTTGTTTTTTGCATTGTCCTCAGACCTGAGCAGCACACCACACACTAAGTAGATGTTCAATAAGTATTCACTGAGCCAAATGCATAAATGGTTTAAAAATAAATAGTATAATATTGGCATGCTAACAGACTAGATTGTGCTTTCTCATGTATGAAATAGAGAGTCTCCAAAGTTTTTCTTTTTCAAGTTGTGTAATTATTTTTTATTTTCTAAATAAAATCTTATCTAGAATCCGATATGGAGCAATAAAAGTGGAATGCTTGGGTTGGAGCCAAGCAGCCTGCATCTTGATTTGCTCTCCCCTTCTAGATTCCCCAGGAAGAGCCGTGTAATATCTTTTTAGTACTCCAGGCCTTCACAAATCACAATTTGAAGACAACTGGACTCATGATCCCACCAGCACAGGAATCTCTGAATTAAGGTACTATCGTATCATCAGGAAATAATCAACCCAGCTTGTTATCGACAAAAATTAAGCCAACTCTTTTGTCCCTGACAATGATGTCATCCATTCTTGGAATACTGAAATGCTACACCAAAATGCTGAAGTAAGAAAAGATGCAATTTTAATGGCAAATGCAAAACATAACTTGGTGGTCTATATGGAATATTGAAAAGAAAACATACAGTCCTCTTCAGTTTCAATTTTGCCTGTTCTCAAGGTGTAACTCAGATCCTAGTTCACCCATAAAGTCTTCACAGATATTCCCCAACTACCCACTTCTAAAGTAGATGTAGGGACTGGATGGAACTTGCCCATTAGATGCAGATCATGGAGTCAAGGGGAGATATAGTATAGAACACTGAGGAGTAAAGCTGGGATGAAAAAGTCAAGCAGAGAGTGGGGCACAATTAATCTTCAGATGGTCAGAGAGGTAAAAATAAGTATGAGGCAAAAAGTTAAATACTAGCATAGAGTCAATGGATTTAAAAGAAAAGGTAGAAGAAAGTACACAAAGTAGTTAGCATATAAGGCTTTTTATCGGTTAGCTCTGACCACCATTGTGAATAGCTACAATTCACTTTAATATATGCTAGCATTTAAAAAAAATTTTTTAATGTTTATTTATTTTTGAGACAGGGACAGAGTGTAAACAGGGAAGGGGCAGAGAGGGAGGGAGACACAGAATCTGAAACAGGCTCTAGGCTCTGAGCTGTCAGCACAGAGCGTGACGCGGGGCTCGAACCCACGAACTGTGAGATCATGACCTGAGCTGAAGTCGGACTCTTAACCGACTGAGCCACCCAGGCGCCCCAATGCTAGCATTTTGATGGGAATTTTACACATGTTCTTCTTAGTCTTCATACCAACCTTGAAAAACTGCTATTATTATTCCCATTTTTATCAACAAAGAAGCTGTGGCTTTAAAAAGATCAATTCTTCGTATCTTTGATGGGAAAGAAGGAACTATGAACTTGTGGTTCAGTATGTCTTAATCCAGTGCTGCTCTATGTTCTTTCCAACACCAAGATGTTGCTGTGATTGCTGAATTATAGTGCTCTCAGAAAGGATCTTCCTCTTTCATCAGTTTGGCTAATGGCTCATCAGAGAGGTGTTTAAGACTGCTTCTGTAAATACAGCCTTTGGGGTGAGGACTGAAAAACTTGGTATTTAATGGTAATTATTTCTATTTACTCTTACCTTATGAACTCAGAAGTCTGCACAAACATTGACTCATAAATTGTGAGGTAATGGGTGCTAAACAACATTGACATTTATTATTTTCATAGTACAGTCTATCTCCTTCTTTGATCATCTCCAAAATATACCATCACATTCCTATTGGAAGAATCTCCTTTCATCGTTCAGAAAGGGTCCTGTTTCAGTGGGCAAGGACCTTCTACTGGGACCCCCTCCTGGGGGTTAAATTATGAATTTAAATAGTAGTTAACCAAGGAAACAAGATGCTACAGTTGTCCTGCCCCCACTGACCTATATAGTTACATCTTTCTCATCTTACATTTTCCTGTTTCCTCACTGCCTGGATCGCCACCCCCATCCATCACTGGAAACCAGGTTGAACCCAGCAGTGACTAAATATCTGAACCATCTCACTCCAACTAATTCATTGGTTGCTGATTGACTGAAAGGCCAACTTTTCCCTTTTAGACTATTTCTGTAAAGTTCACCAGTGAATCATGTGTCATCAAATGGCCACTGAGTCTCCTTAACAGAGAGACAAATGTTACCAAAGTAGAAGCAGTTGTACCTTTTCCTGGAGAAGTTGTTAGAAAGTGTACAAAGCTTTCCACAGCTGTACAGGACTGCACCTGGAGTGGTTCAAGGCTCTATTATATCAATTTTCTGAAATATTCTTCTGGTTTGGCCTCCTTCTCAGAGGAGGAATGTCTTGGGCTCCTTCCCACCAGCATCTCTTTCCTTCCTTCTGGCTGAGAACCATCCCCAGCCTTCTGGGCACTGATGCCTTCAAGAACAAGGTGGCATGTGAAATAAGAAACAACCAACTCAAGACTTTATAATTAAATAATTAGATTAATTAATCATGTAATTTAAAGTGAATAATTTACTTTCATCTGAATTATTCAAATGTTTTAAATTTGATGGATTTTTTTGGTAACTTCAATCATATGAATCATTGGCTTGAGTTATTCTGGGTGAATAGAGATTGACTACATTTTTAGATACAAAAGGTCCAACATGTAAGAATTTGATTTTGAAATCCTATGCTACACGAATTTCAAGCCCCTCTTAGGAATATATGGAGCAAGGAGAAAAAAAGGACTTATTGTGATTTTGAATAGTTCAGCCAGTCTTCACTGGATTGTTAGTATTTTTCATTTTTTTGACATATGATTAGCTAATTTTCTTCCATGCCTGTAATGATTTATGTTTTTATATGCGATCATTTCTTTGGTTATCCTTACACTCTTAGCATAGTGTTGGGCACATCCATGGCACTAGTAAAAATGTACTTTGAAACTGATTTTTTTAAATAAAATATTCTAGGGGCACCTGGGTGGCTCAGTTGGTTAAGCATCTGACTTTGGCTCATGTTATGATCTTGCAGTTCATGGATACAAGCCCCGCATTGGGCTCTGTGCTGACAGCTCAGAGCCTAGAGCCTGCTTCGGATTCTGTGTCTCCCTTTCTCTCTGCCCTCCCACCACGCATGCTCTGTCTCTCTCTGAAAAATAAATAAAAAACATAAAAAATATTTAAGGTTTAAAAATAAAATATTCTAGTGTGTGGATTATGATAAATACCAACTTCTCCTACTGGCCACTAGTGATAATAGTAGGATATATTCTCATGGAACACTTAGAGTAGGATTTTGTTTTGTGATGGACTTTCTTAAAGATAAGCAAATAATAGGCTATTTTAAAAGCTTCAAACACTGATGTTAAAATACATCTGTTTCTTAATTGCCCTGAAAATCTTTCCCAGTCTGGGTGTTGTAAGTGGGGCTTCCCTAAAAATAAGCAAGAGTTCAAAATTGGCCACAAATAAGCCCAAAGAGAATAAATTTAAAATGTGGCTCCCTGCCATCTTGCAATGTTCTTACAGTAAATGGGAAGTGCTATGCCCCCTCCCTTAACTATTCTTTGGCTGATGGCTTTTCTTGGGAATATATTTTCCTAGAGAAATCCTACAAATGGTTGTTTCCTTGAAAGGGCGTGTGCTTTTGCTGGTGAATGTTGATATAGGAAGAAGATGAAAGAAACGTGAAGGGCTAGAAAGGCCCCACAGTTGGTGTAGGGGAAGGGGCAGGGAGAGATTCATGTTTGTTGAGTCCCTATTTTAGCTAAGTGCTAACATCTAACATAATTTTTACTCTGTTAGATGATATTATTGCCCATTTTATTGATGAATCACTGAAAATTAATGAAATTGCCTAAATTCACTTTTCTTTCAGAAAAAAAGGGAAGAATTTGAAGTTAATAGATTGAAAACAGAATAGTAGGTCTGTTAAGAAGGATCACCTATGCTGCTTCTCTTCATCAGCCTAGAAGCAGGTCACACAGGGTGGGATCTCACTCAGGCAGACATGAGCCCTACACACCAGCTTCATCTCCTCCTGATGGGAGATGTCTGATGTCTAATTAACAGAGGACTATGCTTTTAGTACCATAATCAGAGAGGAAGGTTCACATGTAAATACCCTGAAGAAAGGCAGCACATAGCTTTCAATTAACACTCAAGTGTTAATAACAGTTATGCTACTATACTTACCAAGCATATGGTGAGCACTTGACATATAATTTCTATTTGATTCATAATCACCTTAAAAGTGTTATTTACAAGGTAAATATGAAGCAATTATAACTTAGAGTAAATTATTATCACAAGGAATGGAAAGGCCAGTATTGGACACCAAATCTTTTTTTTTCCTTTACTCCCTATAATTTATTTATTTTTTTATAATTTATATCCAAGTTAGTTAGCACGTGGTGCCACAATGATTTCAGGAGTAGATTCCTTAAGCCCCTTACCCATCAAATCTCTACTCTTAAATGCAGTAGTAATCACGTTTCAGCGTTGCATGTGAAATTAAAAGTGATTATTACCTGGACATTTACTGGTTTTTTTGACCACCTGACCCCAAAGGGGTATTGTTTTTTGGTAACCTTACCCTCATTTTCCTACTCTCAGTCCAAGTGCTTTTTAGTGGTTGACTCCATTTTCAGAAACAGAAGTTGCCCCAGATGAGTCTAAAACTGGTCAGCTCGCACCATCTTCTTGGCCATAGTTATTGGTTCCAGATGGGCATGTATGGAAATGAGAACTGATAAAACACAGAACTAACATTTGGGCTTCTTAGAAAGAGAGACTTTATCTATTTCTTGTAGATTTGATAGTATGAGTGTGAAGTCGCGTGCTGCAGTTATTTTGTGATGATCAGGATGAGTCTAAAGCTGCCAATGCCTACCACCTAGAACATGGGAATGGAGAATGGCACAACTAATCCTTATGAGTCAGAGTAGAGAGATGAATCCTGATGGTCATTTGTCCCTGATTCAGACTCTACCAGAAGATATCATTATTGAAATACTCTACAATTATATGAGACAATGCTTTCCTTTTTTTGTTTATGGCAATTTGAGTTTCCTATTGTTTGGGAGTGAACAAATCCTGATATTTTAATTTTACTCAAAAGCACTAACCATAAAAGCAATTATTACACTAGTTAACTAGATTACACTAAAATTAAGCCCTTATCCATGTGAAAAGTCATCATAATTTGGAAGACAAGATCCCACACAGTAAAAAATATGTAACACATAAAATTGAAGGATTAGTATCCAAACTATGTAAAGAATCTTAGAAATCAGACCATAATGACAGAAAAAATAACACATTCATTTTTATAATAACACTGGCATATATGCACAAAAATTATTTTAAAGGATTTAAATGAAACGTGATTTCCTGTTAATACCACACCTCCATTCTCCTTGCCCAAAGATACACATTTTTGATCTTTTCTCTTTGCATTATTCTCTTGGTTAAACCAAAATATATACTAACATGTATTCTTTATATCAGTAAAACTGTATCATGGTATGGGTATGCATATGAGGAAGGACCCCTCAGCCTGGCTATTCCACACACAGTACATACCCCCTAGCCAATCTCTCTGTAAAAATGTTGACTTAGAGGGGCACCTGAGTGGCTCAGTTGGTTAAACTTCTGACTCCTGGTTTTGGCTCAGGTCACAATTTCATGGTTGGTGACCTTGAGCCCTGCATTGGGCTCTGCGCTGACACTGAAGCCTGCTTGGGATTCTCTCTTTCCCTCTCTCTCTGACCCTCTGGCAGGGCTCTCTCTCTTTCTCTCTTGCTTTCTCTCTCTCTCTCTCAAAATAAATTAATAAAATTAAAAAAATTTATTTAAACATGTTGACTTAGAGATGATGGGCTTTCCCCTCAGCTGCAGGAATCCTGTGTGCTCTGAGAGTAGCCTGTTTTCTCAATTCAGTCTTCAGCCTTTCAATGTGATCTCCGGAACCTCGTCAAAATAATCAGTGCAATAATTTCACCCCTTTCAATTGTCAGTGTTGCTATCAATTCAATGTCAGTGGTACACCTTTATTTTTATTTCCATGGTATCTAAGGAAGAGAGGTAAACGTATTTCCCCAGTCTTTAATTTGGAAGCTATGGTAAGCAGATTTCTCAGATGGCCCCCAAATTCTCATCCCCTGGTATATGTGCTCCTCCTGGTTATCAGGCAACACTAATCTAGGTGTTGTTGGAAGTGATTTTGCAGATGTAAAGTCCCAAATCAGCTCATGTCAGATTGTCTGGATGGGTCTCATCTAATCACACTAGCTCCTAAAATTTGAGTCAAGAGGTCAGAAATGGAGGAGGCCAGAGATCTGAAGCACAGGAAGGAGTCTATGCACCATCACTGGCTTGAAAATGGAGGGGGCCATGTAGCAAGGAGTGCAGGTGATCTCCAGGAGAGGAGAGTGGTCCCCAGCTGACAGTCCACAGGGATACAGTGCCCCCAGTCCTACAATCACAAAGAATGAAATTCTGCAAACAACCTGAATGAACTTAGAAGCGGATTCTTCCTCAGAGCTTCCGGAGGGCAAATCAGCCCAACTGATCTTGATATCAATTTTTAAGCCATGAGCAGAAAGCCTAGCCACATCATGCCTGGACTTCAGAACTGTGAAACTAATAAATGGATGTTGTTCTAAGCCACTGAGTTTGTGACAACTTTTACACAGCATAGAAAATGAATAAAAAGTCTAACTTCAAATACCAATCTCAGAAGTTCTGTCCTTTTAAAAAGTTCCACAGGTATTAACCTCTCAGGTTAAGTGCTGGAATTGTACTCTACTGTCTGAAAGCAAGTCTCCTGCGGTAGATTGGTTAGTGAAGAAGCACCATGGTACTGGATCAGGGTCATGATCTTTTCTCACAAGAAGAAATTTCTCAGGAGTTTTAGAAGCCTTGAAGGTTGAGAAAACCTGAGAGTCCTGCCTGGATGGTGAACTTTTTGTCAGGGTGAATTCTAGACATTCATTCATTCAATAAGCATTTGTGAGCATCGACAGCACTCCAGGTACAATAGTCTATTGGATGAAACTTGTGCAAACAACACGCAGTAAATACTGTAATAACCTTGCTAGTCAAAGTGCGAGGCACTTGGGAGTATCCTAAAAGTACTGAATCTCAGACCTCACAAGAGACCTACTGAATCAGAATCTGCATTTTAACAACACCCAGAAGATTTGTTGTTTTTATTTTAATGTTTATTTATTTTTGAGAGAGATAAACAGAGTAGGGAAGGGGCAGAGAGAGAGAGGGAGACACAGAATCCGAAACAGGTTCCATGCTCCGAGCTGTCAGCACAGAGCCCGATGCAGGGCTTGAACTCACGAACCGTGAGATCATGACCTGAGCCAAAGTTGGAGGCTTAACCAACTGAGCCATCCAGGCACCCCAAGTCAGCTTCAGTCTTATAACGATAATATTAAACATAGTCTAAGGAAGAGATATTTTCTGTCTCTTAGAAATTAACGTGATATAACTGATTATTAATAGCATAATAATCATTACCTTTGGCCAGTAGGTTAACTCTGAACTTTATCCACAATTAAAAAAAAAAAATGTTTTTCTTGACATTTCTATTGTCCCGTCCAGCTTGCATCACATTTCATCTATTACATTCTTCATATAGCTCAGCTTATCTTCAGACTAAGAAATTATTTTTATTTATCCTAAAGAAAAGAATAGAGAGGATTTTGTGGAGATGGAACGGAGAGAGAGGACATATGTGAGCAATAATGGGATAGAGCATCAGAAAATCAAATCAAGTAAGACTGAGGGCATTATTGCAATAGATAGATGGGTTGGTCTGAGTGATTTATACATCACTTCTACACCAAAATTGCTTGGAAGTTATTAAGATGGTGGGATAAACACTTGTTGAATCTGAACTATCAAATTAAATGAACTTTCATTAATTGCTTCTACCTGTAGTACCTGACTCCGCCTTTCCAGAAACGCTTCTCAAATCAAACATAATTGTAGATACATGAAGATATAATTCATTTAGTATACCGCTAATCTGAAAAATTACTGTTCTATATCCAGGATGATCATAAATCTCTGGGGGAGAGATGTTTATATTTCTTTTGTATTCCAAATAACTATTTACCATATAAAAGGCATGCTTCCAATAAATGCTTATTGATTAATGAGGAAATAATTAAAAAGTATGGAAAAGATATATAGCTGATAATTTTAGCCTCTTAATAGGTGCTTTGGCCCTAGGTCTTTACATCCTGACTTGCCCTTGAGTCACACACATCGGCCAATCTATGAAATTAAGCCTTGAGTTTCCAATGGATTATGGTAATTATTTGAAGCTCTTTTTTCCCAGCTATTTCCACATTAATGAAGCACATTCTCAGAGGTTTCAGAATTGTGCTGCTGGAGGTTCAGATAGTTTTGATCAGAACACCCTCCTTCAGGTGGTCCCCAGAAACTGAACTTCTAGTCCTGGCTTTCCAGTTGACACCTAACTGAACCTATGAATTTCATGTGTGGGAAGGGGATTGTTTGACTTTGGCAAACTCTTTTCAAGCATTTTAGCTTTAATGTGCCTATCAATGTTGATTTTAAAGAAGCATTATTATTAAGGATCAATAGCTTTGGAGGAATAAGTAATGGGTCAATCTTTCCCTTTCTACATGCCTCTAGATACATGAATATTCTTAGAAGCTAGAAAAAATTTGCCTTTGCTAGCCTTGTAATATATTGATTTCATTGCCTGTAGTCAGATAGGTCTGACTTAGCCTTCCATTATTTTTTTCTCAGTAGCTGACATATCAAAATCCATACTATTTTATTTTGTTTTGTGGAAAGGTAATATAGCAGAAACATGACAACTGAAGGCTTCTTCTGAATAGATGGGAATGATTTCTACCAAGCATACAGACATTTGGTGGTTTCCTGCCATTTGTAACTCCATAGTCTCTGTACCTCACTGAATTTGGTTTGAGTCAATGATTGTATTAAGAGTGTAGTAATACAAGTTAAACACTCTCTAAGAGGAATATTGTATTTCATGATACTATTTGCACCTGGGAATTAACTGTTGCTCAGACCAGTAAAGCAGATAATCACATAACAGCTTCTTTAGAGTATAATATTGATCTTTCCCTATCTCTGCTACCATTTTAATATGAGACACATTTAACTTTGAGTTTCACATTGAGTCATAAAAGTTACCGGAAAAAGGTACCTAGCATAATTAAAAAGTCATCTTGTACTTTATTGCAATATAAGCACAGGGTTCCAGTACATTATAAATTCAGCTTAAATTTTATACTAATATTGGCTGAGTTTTGTATCTTCTGTTTTATGTATATTGGGCTCCCCTCAGTCTGAAAGAAATGGTTTTCTTGTAGGATAATAATGAACACCATGACATAATGACTTCATGACTTCCTGTCAGAAACCTTGCTGCTGGAGCTTGATGTAATGAAAATCGGATTTTTATGCAACTTAATTAACTGTTATCTCCCATTCTCTCCATGTAGTAAAGTTAAATGACATTTCTTCCTTAAATGATGGAAATACAATCTCTTTAATGGAAAAGTTTAATAAATAAATGTTAATAAATGTAAAACAGCATACTAATTTCTTATTTTTAAAAAAAGTATTTTATTAAATAAAAGATGCATTTAATTTGGAAAGAAAGATGTATTTAATTTAGAAAGAAAAAAGTTAATTTCCGGGAGAAAAAGTCTGCCTTAAGATATATGATTTGGTAGCTCATGAAAAATATTGGGGTTTTTTCCCCTGAAACCTGATCTCTAAAACTACATTATCCTTACCTCAGAGTCCAATTGTTTTGTATACTGAATAAATACAAGAGATGTAAGTTTTCTTTAAAAGAATCTTTGACACACCTCAATTCAAGAAAAGAAGCAACTTAAAGAGAATTTTTTTTTAAGGTAATTTTAATGATTAACAATTGTTTGGGGAAAGAATTCATTTCTCAAATGCTACTACTTCGGTTGGTTTAATAAAACAAGGAAATTCGTAAGACATCATTTTTACAGTTTTGTTTATGTTTATTTATTTATTTTGAGAGAGAGAGAACACGT